GAGCAGAGAATAGCAGCTGGGAAATCCGTTTGCCAGGCATGCCCACAGAAAACCTCTGCCTCTCCCCATGCCACATGGCAAGGTGAGAGACAAATAATACAAGCTCCTTTTGCCTTTCCAAAGAACATTATGATAGCTTTTGTTTTTGTCAGATTATGCCACAGCTCTTGTACTTGTAAAAGGATTGTTTTTCTAAAAGGCAAGAAAAGTCAAAAGAAATTAATAGCCAAGATAACAGTTATCAGTCTGATACAAATAAAGCAGTGCATAACGTTTGCAATACACTACAATCTACAACTGATAAAGGAGTCTAAAGCCAAATGAGGTTTAAAAGGAAGCTGATATTGGAAATATCTACTCTCTAAATTCTCTCTTTAAGCAGATGACTGGGTCACAGTTGCTGTTTGTAACTGTTGCTGCTGAAGCCAGTGTCACCACTGAAGCCTGGAGTAAGGACATTAGTCACCCAGCACAGCTCAGTCTCTCCATGGGATCAAAAAAAGGCTCAGATGAGATCTAAAAGCTTCACCCACATCCTCATACAATGAGGACTATGTTTTAATTCTGTACTGATACCTTAGTGCCAGTAATCCCCAGGTTAAGAGGTATACTACAAAGATCTCCCTTGCCCACGTGGTTGCTTTTGTGTTCTTCCCAGGACCCTTCATCTTAACACTTCAGACAGCTCCATCACTGTGTTTGTCTTTGTAACTCTCCAGACACCCATATTCCTATTTTGTGCTTGTTTCAAAATGTCAGAATGGCTCCTTCCTCGTGTGATTGTGACACCAAAATAATTTTACTAGTTCCGCCTCAATTCCCTTGGGAACCTGTTTCAGAAAGGTACAAACCATGTGTTTATTAAGTCATATGCAACATACACACTCCCCTAAACCTCTTGGGAAGCGCCTCTGGAGCTTGAAGAAGCTGAAGGCAAGAGCTGAAGCACTGCTTAGAAGCTATCCCAGGCGACGTGTACTCATATTAGTCATTTCCAGGATCCTAATTTACCTCCATTAATGTCATAGGAGCTAAACTTTGCATTCTAAGCAAAGAGCTAGACAACTAGAAATGTAAATGCCACAGGATCTGATTTCCATTGCTGAAGATTGTCATGGGAGCTTGGTCTCACAAGCTGTGTTTTACTGAAAGGGGTCTGAAGTGCCAGTATAATTTCTATCACTTTTCAAATCCTTGGCTCTCCACTAGTCCTATGAGTTTTTAATCCATTTGGCAAAGTCAGTGATGTACATACATGACCTGGTTTCAGCTGGGATAGAGTTAATTTCTTCTCAGTAGCTGGTACAGTGTTGTGTTTTTGGATTTGGCATGAGAATAATGTTGATAACACACTGATGTTTTGGGTTTATTAAACTGCTCTTATCTCAACATACAAGTTTCAGTTTTGATTCTCCTCCCCATTTCACTGGGCTAGGAGTGGGGAAGGTGAGCGAGTGGCTGTGTGGTGCTTAGTTCCCAGCTGGGCTTAAACCATGACAGCACACCAGCATAATTTTTGGTATAATTGGTTTAGCTCACTTCCTTAAAAATACTAAATCATTTGCACAAGCAGCTTTCTTCTCTGATTAATAATTTTCCACAGTCAATCATTCATTCTCTGTTGCATACATTTCCAGACTCCTCTTAGACATGTTCTATGGGCTGGATTCGGGGTTTTTCCTTATATTTCAGTCCTGAGCTTTAGGATCATGAAATCTTTCCAATGATAACAAGACACCTTTTTTTTTGGACACGTTTATTTGCAACAGTAGTGTGAGATATAGTAGAATACATGTGGGAAACAGATAATCATGTATTATTTTATAGTGAATTTTTCAGTAGATTATTCCAAATATTACATATGGAATTTTTAAGTTCTATTACATTAGTTCTGATATCATGGTGACTAAGCACTTAAACAACAAGCAGTCTTCTGGAAAAACCCATATACACAGTTTGCTTTACCTCATTTGTCCTAAATTTCAGACTGTAATGGATGACTTAGATCATGTAAGTGGGTAGCAAATACTTCAGTCTATATTTACGTATTATCTATTCAGAAAGTCCTTGAGAAACTCAGATACACACAGGCTGAACTGAGATACAAAAAATTGTGCATGGTGTTTTCACCTCTCACCTTGAAAAGCAAGGCTCACAATGTAAATTCTCACACATTTTAATAAGATTAAAAATATTGGATGGTGCATAATATCCTGAATGTGTTTCACAGCCAGCAGATAAGATGTTTCAGAGCACAGCACAGCTGCTCTGCCATCAGGCACTAGAAAGGTAGATGGCCATCTAGCTTTCTAATCACATACTGTGGTAATTACTAATAACTAGAAATAAAGCACATTTTGAAAAGCTGATACGCAAATACATGTGACAAACCTAAACATGGCATGAGATGAATCTCACTCCTACTTCCACTGAAAGTGGAACACTTCAACAGAAGGGTTATCATGACAACTTAAATGCTGCAGGGTTTCTTCTTATTTTTTTTTCCTGAGAATAGCTAGAATTTGGGTGATGAACTCCTCAGAGTATACACAACCTAAAAGGTATTTGCATGCTTCAATGGAACCACCCTTGGCTTCCATGCTTTCTTTTCTGAAACCCAGTGATTTAATATTATGAAGGTGCTTTTTAAAGTGCAAATATAACATTGAAAACAATCGTGCTATCATGGAGGAATGAGACTCATCCTATTTTTTGGGGCCCCAAAATGATGACAGACCTACCAGCCTTCCCGTGATTTTCATCCACAATCATATACAAAAACATTTCCCACCAAAACCAATAAACGTTTTAAGAGGACATCAAGTATGTTATGAGGTGTAGTATAGAGCTGAAGAGCTTTAGAACACAAATCTCACTCCAACAGCATCAAAGTACATGTTTAAAAAAATACTAAAGCAAAAGTGTCTTGAATCCATAAAAAGGTCATGCTAGTCTATTATTTAACCAAGCATGACTATTGTACAGTGACGATACCATTGCAAGACAGCTCAGAGAGCACATGTCCCTGTGGTAAACTAAGTCCTAATAGATGCTGAAGAGTGATGTTCCCTTATATGAATGTGGTGGGGCAGAGCCACCTGTGATTACAGCCACTGCTAAGGATTTACTTTAGGGTGGGTCATAAACCTCAAGTCTAATGTATCTTCTTCCAAAATTAAGCATATTGCTGAAAGCCTTGGATTTTAGAAAAAACACAGTGAAGTGTGTGAGAGAAGCCATCATGCCCCAAAAAAGCTCAGGATTATTTCCACTGTAGTCAATGGCAAACTCCTCCACAAGTTTTAATCTGTGGGATCAGGAGCAGACCTACCACACATTGCTTACCTGCTAGTGCCTAATAGCATGGCATCAACCTTTACTGCCTGCTGGCCTCTATTTTACCATCCCTTCTTTTCCCTGATCTTTTCAGAAGTGTCAGGATCTTATCCTCAATAAGGAGCTCTGCTGATTCTGAGTGTTTCAGGAAAAAGATCCTCCTAGCAGAGGTGGCTGGTGCTATGCTCACATTATGCTCACCTCAGCAGCAGAATTAGGCTGGGTGAGGAAAACACACATCAAGCCATTTGTGTAAAGGACCCTTAAGCATAAAGCAAATCACAGCTTCTTATTTAAATAACACAGTACCATGCAAAATTCACAAATTAAGGAGTGTCTTTAAGTACAAAAAATGCAAACCTTTGCTTAAAAATCCACCAATTTTATGTGTATTACTCTTTACCTTTTTAAGCCATGCAAAAGGTTTAACAAAAATGTCCCTTTAACAAATACAGACTGGAACTATGTAAAAAAAAAAAAAAAAAAAAAAAAAAAGCCCAACTAACTGCCTAGACAAACCCCCAACATGTTTTGATCTTTCCCACTGAATCTTTTTATCATGGTATTTACCCATCTGAGCAGAGGTCTAACATGACACCTGTGCTGCCTTTCCCTTGGGAGACTTAGTCCTTGCTGTGGGAAGGAGCTCTTATCTGCAATTTGACATTGTCCATTGCAGGTCCCCAGCCAAGCCCAATTGCAAATGCATGAAGGAGTCATGAATCTCATGCTCAGTGCAGGGAACTTGCACCACACTAACAGGGACTAAGACAAGAAAAATGTGGAATTTATAAAAGGCCATGCTGGGACTATACCAGGCTGCAAGCTGGGATACTAGAATTGCCCTTGGATCATAGTGCACTGATTTGAGAGTTGTAGTGGTTTATTATCTCATTAGAAACATCTAAATCCCTGTAATAAAGATTGTATGTAGAGTATGTCAAAGAACAGATGAGGCCGATACAGCCCACAGTCAGGACTAATACTTTTTTTCCTCTCTTATTGCTAAATAAGCAGGGATAGGTTTTCAATTTAAAAATAAAAACTATATAATTACGGTAATAATACCACACTCCTGACTGCTCTGCAGCTGCATATTGTAAAACTCAAAACCACTGATCAGAAACAAAAGCAGTAAGTCAGTAACAGCTTTACAGAAATGTTCTGCTGTGGTGATTTTGTCTGGAAAAACGCTCTATAGGAGAAAGACTGTTTACCAAACATATTTCATGTCCTTTTGCCCCTAAAACACCCTGCAAGCACTAGAACCTTTTCCTAACAATAGATAAAGAAACCTTTGCCAGAGGTGTAGTTTATGACTATATGAACACTGGAACAAGCAGGGAACCTGTTCAAATAGTTAGGCATCAGTTACAACAAAAAGCCAGAAGCAGTCATATTTTTATCTTCTGTTATAAAAAAATATTTCCCAATCAGTGTCTCAATACAGTTAAAAGTTAAACCCCCCCTAACATTACTAATAAATTAAAAAAACACTATCTCCAACCATCTTGTAAGAAAATAGGTAAGTAATTTAAACCTTTAGTTTACATAAATTAGCACAGAAATGTGTATTCAAACAAGTGCACTGAAAACAGATATGCCTTCTTTTCTTCTGATATCTCTTATTTAAGTTATTAAGTAACAGGAAAGCCTTTATACTCTTTGCATGACCTTGAGAGTCTGCTAACACTGAATGGTCAATAGTCAAACCCCAGGAGAATGTTTCACCAGATAGACAATGACAAGAGGGAGCATGAAATACAATCAAATGCTTAGCAGCCTTATTACCCTACACTTCAACATTCCATTTCAGCATATTTACTCTTGGGGATGAAGGTAATGTATTTATACAGTGAATCACATGAGTGAAATTTGATGGGTTGATAGAATTTTTTCTTAAAAGCCTGTTAAAGTATCATTTTTTTCAGAGGTAGTCTGCAAGGCAATAGTGATGTACATGAGTGGAAACAATACTCCTTTGCTTGACTGTGGATAAAACTCTTAAATAGTGCTGGTGCTGTCTCTGAACCTCACAGAGAAGGCTTAATGGGTAAGATGTTATAATCGGTGCTGACAACAGCCAATTAAGTGTCAGAAGAACAATCTGATAAGTAGGTCTTCATGTCTATAGGCATTTCCTGGTATGTCTTAACTGTCAATCTGGATGTTACACATCTCTATCTTTATCTCATTATTGACTGCTTTATTAAAGGAGAATGCTTTCATCTCTTTTTTTTTTTTTTGACTTTGGGGTTGCTCCAGAAAGAAGGAAAGGAAAATACTAGAAACAAGTCTAAATTTGGAATAATAGATGGGGAATCCTAATTACAGCAAAGTCCTAATCTTCCAACTGAGCAGGTGTATGGTTTGGTGACACCACTCCATGCATGTGCCCACACCATACCTTTCAAGAAGTGGAAGGTGCTCAGCCTAGAGGAGATCTGTTTCTTTAATGGGTGGAAGGATATCTGTGGACGTGCTAGCAGGCTGCTCTCTGCTTTCAGTGCTTCTTGCTAGTCATACGGAAGACAACACCTCGCTGGATGGATCTCTTCCCTTCTTGTCCTCACCCCTGTCGATATCAATCACATGAACTATGCCAGGCTTCAGGATCAGGTCATCGGTCTCTACGTGGCTCCTGTTGTCATCCACCTCAATGTACTTGCCCTTGGACGGCTGGGTAGCTTTACCAAAGACGTCTTTGAAGCGGCGCTTGAGTTCAACGTCTGGGCAATAGACGTACTCGTACAGAGCACCGGCAAGGACGGCTCCGATTATTGGTCCCACCCAGTACACCTGCAAAAAAAGAGGTGGGAAAAAACTCCCAGGCATTAAGCTTTTAAATTTAAACAGTGATAAGAAGGCTGACAAGCAGGCCCACCTCTCTGAAGTGAAAGAATTTTGTCAAGTCTTATTGATCTGTCTCTTCACAGGAGGCCTCTTCTAAACTTTTGATTGCCCACTGCCAGCTGCCGACCACAAATACGGACTCTTTGCAAGAAGGCACACAAAGGAAACATTGATGTAGAAAAGTGATTTTCTTTCTGCATTTTGAACCAAGATGACAATGAACTTTCAAGGTAAAAAAGCCCTTCCTAGCGTACACACAAAGGCCCTTCCTAGTGTACACACAAAGAGTTCTGCTTTGGTATTTCAGACTTATGTTTCCAAAATAGTTCAAATCTGGCATTTAATCCTACAGAATACAACAGGCAGTCAACCACAACAGGCAGTCTGATAATCTAATTTAAATAAACAAATACAATGGACATAACACAACTTTGCAGGTACCTATCTATTTCATCATGACAGGCAGCAGTGCAGTAACATTAGTAGGTGCCGAAGCCCACAGGCTCCTGTCAATGGTATGCCAATGTCACTGCTCTGGAGGAGGAGAAAAGGCTGTCTTTCCAAGTGGCCAGGACAGCAACTAAGCTTCTCCTGCAAGTTCCTCCTTGGTGCATTTGTTTATTGTTTATAGCTTTAGTTATAAATTACAGGCTTCTTCAGAGTATGGATAATTAATCTTGTGAAAAACTACAGCAGTTTTTCATATGAGCAAGCCATTCACTGATAACTGGGTAAATCTGCCTCAATAGGATAACTCTTGGGAACAAAGTTACACATGGTATCGTGTTTGCAGAATTGAAGCCTTAGGGCCTGAAGACAATGCTATTTCTATTCTTAGCTGCAGTGGGAGCAATGTGGGCTTCATACTTTAAAAATCAAGAAAATCCTTACATGCACTGTAATATGCAGATCTTCCAGTCAGCACTGAAAGTGTCTCTAGAAGTGATTTCCCTCTCTATAATTAGGTGAGGCTAAGCTGTGATCCATCTCTCCCTTATAAAATATGAAATGTTTTTTTGTAAGTTGGATTGTTGGATGCTATAGAAATTTACTGCATCATTCACAGCCTGCTTATAACATTGTTTCCTGTGCAACTGCTCCTGGCTAAGCTGACACTTTCAAACTGAAGCAGGTAACATCTGGCCTGGTCTGCAAATACCAGACTGCAACCTCTTAATCTCTCACTGCAGGCATTTGCCGAGGCAGGTTCTCCCCCAGGAACCAAATCACAGAGGGTCCCTGTTCTCATTTTATACATCTGCCCCAGTTTGCTGCAGAACCAGGTGAAATGTGAAGCTGACAGAATTACTTCCAGAGCTCCTCACCAGCAGGACTAGTGGGGTTTGCAATCTTCCTTGGAGGATTTTTCTTTCCAGCAGTTCAATTCTTTCAGTCTCCTTGGGTTGCTTTTTTTTTGTTTGTTTTTGTTTTGAACTTTTTGTATGATTTCTTTTCTACCTCAGCTACTACCTCCACAAAATGGCCCCTGAATAGTAAGATGCTATTCCAACATGCTGCATGCTGGGTGAGGAGCATGATGATGCCTAAGCTTGGGGCAGGTCAGTGCCTGTCTTCCTTGTGGATGGTCCCTATGGGATGCACAGGGAGAGAGAACTGAAATGATGTATAAAAAATCCTGACCACTGTCACTATGATGAAGGAAGTATGAAAGGAGAGTTACCCATTGGTTTTCCCATCTGCCCATAATGACAGCAGGTCCGAATGATCGAGCTGGGTTCATGCTGGCACCGGTGTAATTGATCTAAAGCAGAGAGAAAATGTTGCCTGTTATTAAAATCTGGAAGGTAGTGATTCGATTTCTATGGGACACCCTGGTTTTGTACAGCTCCTCCTCTTTACAACAGATACCATCACTCTCCTGAGTCTTAACACAAAGTTAAAAAAAGTCATCACATGAACAGCCAGAAAAGTTCTGGTGCAACACCCTACCCAAGGAGACACTACTGAGACTCCAAAGGGCTTTGGCATAGACCATAAAGAATACAGCAGCTATATAGCTGTAATTGCTCTAAAGGTCACAAAAGTTTCCATTTACTTCTGAAGTAGTCATAAAGGGTAAAGTGATCTATTTTTTTAAAGAAAAACAATTAACTTACAGCAAATAAATGTCCAATTGCAACAGAAAATCCAATTGCTAAAGCTACCGAACCAGTGACATCGCTTCGTTTTGAATCACAGCTAGCAAAAATAGTAAAAACCAGCTGGAATGTAATTATCAATTCCACCAGGAGTCCATGCCCAGCAGAAAGATCTCTGTGTACCTGGAAGAAGGCAAAGAAACACCAGACATGAAGAAAAAGTGATTTTGTACATCAGAAAGCCATTACATCCACAAATTGTATTTCTATGAATGCTATTTCTAAATAGTACAAAGTGAAATACAACAACAAACTTTTAAAGGTACAGATTCCCCCCTCTTCACTCTTCTCCCTTTTTTTTTTTTTTTTTACTTTAAACTGGTTTTTGATTTTGAGAAACATGGAAAATCAGTACTGGACTCAGAAAAGAAGGCTTAACAGTAACATCCAACTGAAGCTTCAAAGTTAGACTGCAGAAGTATAGTTTATTTTTACACAGGGATTTGCAAATGCTGCACTTCCCTTTCACCAATTTTTTTTTCCTTGGGAGCACTGTAATTTACTATTCAATTATAAATTCATTAATTAGCCCTGACTTAATTAATTTAAATTTCAATTAAAAATTAAGCAGTGTGCGGCTCAAGTGCATTTTTAATAAGTCCTGCAACAGGGCTAACTGATGGCATTCCTTATTAGTTTAGAACAAAGCTGAAATCTAAGCCACAATCTATTTCAAAAGTATGTCATTTTAAATTGATGTTTTTTCAATCTCCATCATAATAGCAGGGAATTAATTTCCCCCCTCCCCAGACCATATAAAAATGGCATTTCATGCATATATTATTTAAATTTTGTATGTAAATTAACATTACCTGCTGTCATCAGATTTGGGGAAGTTCTAGGAAAGAGAGCTTCTATAAAAAGATCAGCTATAGCTATTACAGTGCATAAACTCATTCTAAGGAGTCTGTCTGGATACTGTAAGTAAACCAGCAAGCTGTTAAAATCTGTACCTGAGCTCTCCTCATTCTGTGTGACACTGATTCTACTTTCTCAGGGTCTGAGCTAGCCTAGTTGAAGAGGCAGAGGAGAAGTGATGATTACCGCAGTGACGCCCAGGCCTCCCACCACGCTGGGCGGTGTGACGAGGTAAAGGATGCCCGCGCCCACGATGGCTCCCAGGCACTGGGCAAGAATGTAGAAGACGGACTTGGCAAGGCTGATCTTCCTCGTGCAGACCATGGCCACGGTCACAGCAGGGTTGATGTGGCCTCCGCTGATGTGTCCAAAGCACTGCACCATGGTGGCAATGCTGAGTCCAAAGCAGAGGGATATGAGGACCATGTCCACAGGCAGCGGCTTCTCTGCTCCACCCCAGTTGATCGTGGAGCCGAGGCTGAGGAGGACAAAAATGAGCATGGCCAAAAATTCTGCCGAAACGGCTTTCCAGAAGGGCTGAGTCCAGACTCCTTTAAATGCCACCATAATTCTCTCACACTTACACAGACGTCCACACTTACTGAAAAGGAAAGCAAATCTTCATCAGAAGTCACCAAATAAACCTTACACTCTCCTGTTAGGGGTTGCTCTTCAGTAGACTTTGGAGAGAAGGTGGCAACACTGAGTATCCTTGGGCTGGATAACCACAGACCACACTCTTAGAGCAGACTGCCCTTAAAACATGCCCAATGTTGGAGTGTCTGCAGGACACAGGGTAATTAATCACTCCTTGTGATAACTCTGTATAATTTCAACTAGTATAAAGCAACATCTGTGTATTTTAAAATGACCATGAAATTAAGTGTACTCTTCTATGCTAGCTGCCCTCTGATTGAGAGGCTGTATAGCTCTACCACTTCCAGTGGCCTGTTGATCATCATGTTCATTAAATCAGTGAGTATCCTCTTTTTCTACGCAAATCTGTAATTTTCACAAAGTAGGTAACATAATTCAATAAAAAGCAGTATCTTAGTCAAAGCCTAGTGGTTTTGATGACAGCGTAGTGTTGGGGAGTTGCCCTTGGAGCTAGAAGAGAAAGTTTATTTGCTTGAACACTCACACAGACCAGTATTTCAATTTATATTTATGCAAAGAGCAGTTTCTTCACTATGGATAGTGGGTGGAAATTGGATTCAGGCAGGAGAATAGATGCAATCCTACATTCTGACCTTTAAATCAATCGTGTAATCAATAAAGTGCTTTCTTTTGGGCTAATGGCGCCAATTGAGCTGGGGAATAGAGCAATATTTTCTGCATGTGTGGTGTGTAAAACTCTGCATGGCAAAGAAAGAAGTGTCTTGGCTTTTCTTCCTGTCTGGAGATGCTATTTATTAGTCTACATCGCCTTCCTGACGAGTTACAATTTTGCTAGATTTTCAGATACCTATGAAAGTGGGTCACCAAAGAAAAGTTATTTGTGGTATTAATAAATTAGAGAATAAGCCAAAAGGGAAGCATTTTAATTAGTTTCTAAGGAATGCTGAAAAGATTCTTCTCTAAAAACAAAAGCAAGAAACATCCGACCCATCCAAAAAGTAGAAAACAAAAAGAAGAATATTTAGCTGCTACATTTGGGAACAGAATTTCAAGTGGAAGATGGATGAATTTATGCTCAGTTATCTATGGTAACAGAGCTACAATGCATATTTAATACCAGTTACATCAGAAAGAAGAATAAAAGGCATGTCTGCCCTTTTCAAGTCATTGCAAGAGGAATGGCCCATGAATTTCTTAACAGTTCCAGTGAGTAAGGGAAAAGCAATTTAATGCTGTGACTGGAGCAAATAAGTTGTTTCCCTGACTCATTTCCTATGCTAATTTACTCGGCATTTTGGATAGGCCTTTTGAGCCCTATCTCAGTCCTCTAGACTCTCAGATGAGAACAATTACATTCTCTCCTAAAAATGGCCCTTGTCAAGTGCTTATGAAGGGATCTGAGACACTTGAATGAGACTTGTTCTTCTAGAGAAGTGAAGCCAGAACCTCAAAAAAGAATAAAATAATACCCCAAATCTTCTGATTTTAAGCCAAACTCAAGATAAATGGAAAGATGTTTTTGTAAGATCTCATATTAACAGTCAGTTAATGACCAACCATCCAGACCAGACTTTTTGTACAAAATGAACCCAAAATCATTGCCTCCCTCAAAGCTGAAGCTCACAGGTATTTGGCTGTTCTTACCTTTGAACCCTGTGCCCAGATTCACACTGAAACTTAAAGGTTTACCTCTGATTCCCTTACCGCTTCCTCACTAATAATTTCTCTTAGTGACCTGAGTAAGGTATAGGTGCTATATCCATACTGAGAAAAGCTCATTTTCCCAGCTCCCTGGGCATGTTCCAGGTGAACACAGGGATGACACATATTGTGAAGCCCCTGGAAAAGAAACCTGGGACCTGGGTGCACAGACAAGGGAAGCAGCACTCAGCTACTCTTTTATCCCTCAGCTCAGCTGGGATGGAACCTGGATTTCCCTGGTGTTACATTCAAGAGTTTTGAAAAATTTCCAGCCACCAAGGGCACTATGGGGGGAATGTAGGTTTATGGATCATGGTGACTCCTGATGTCTTTGTTCAAATGTGCCTCTCTTTCTATACTCAGAAACAGTGAGATCAGCAAATGAACTACACAACTTCATCCCAGAAAGTGGACAGAAAAAGGTGTTTGTATTTGGCATTAAGATCATGGCTTCTCACTAGTTGTGGAACATCTTGGAAAATCACCTTAAGAATGAGTGTGTGTGTGCATGTGCATGTAGAAGATCACACCTTCTCCTGGACTGCTGACTAGAAGGAGGCTACCACTTATGAAGGACAGATCTCATATTGTTTCTCCAGCTGAGAGCACATGCAGTCAATTCAGTCAATATTACTTGCAGCTCTGAAAATGCATAAATGCTGCATGCAAGCCAAATGCTTCAAACACAAAAGCTGGCTCATCAACCTAAGTTTTTGTTTTTCTGGAATGTCATGCTACATAGAAGTCTGTCAGCCATATTTACAGTTAATGACCTAAACATCTATTTTTAATCCATACTTTTTTTTTTTTTGAAGTAGTCTGTTTTTCTATGATTTCAACACCAAGCAAAATGCTCAGCTGTGAGGGCCAAATTTTTCTCCTAAACTGCACACCTGTCCTCCCTACAGCAAAACCCCCTATAAATGTTAATAACAGCCTAATACTGTGTTTGAGCCCTGAGCCCATGTTTTCACTTAAATTCAAAGGCAATCAGCAACTTAGAAATCAAAAACATCTTGAACATCCACTATTTGTTCAGCATGCAGTTAAATTTAAAGGCTGGAGATGAGACAGAGTGATGGCTGTGACAGGTCTGAAACTGAAATGGGACCTCTCAGCAGCTAAGATTTGCCATCAAAGTTGCAAAACAGATTTTTTTTTTTTTTGAGTAGTTGTTGTTCACATTTTCTTTAGATAAATTCAAAATACAACAGAAAACCACTTTAATGTGATGGTCACACATTAATTTCACAGGTGGGCACACTGGAAATTCACTGGTCTGGGTTACAAGATCACACAGTAAATTGTGTCTGATAGGATGCAAGGTGGGTTTTGCAGATCATGTTGCCAGCAGGGTTTCAGGCATGATTATGGCTTCAAAACCATAACAATGTAAATCATAACAAAGGTTTCGCTACGAAAGTCAAACAGTATTTTAAAAATTCTTCATTTTCTTACTAATATAATTTCAAGGAGCAGAGCACACATCCTGGATGCAGGCTTGTGGCCAGCCACTCCACACGACACTGCTGTCACACATGAGTTCTGTGCATGCAGTGGCTATTTACAGTGGCATCTCCGCAGCAAACTCGCACGCTGCCCGACCTGAGCTTGCACCGCCGGCTGCAGCTCAAATGGACATCGGGCACCTCCCGGCCAACTTTGAGGGAGGAGGGCGACACGCCACTGTTGCAAAAGCAATGCACGGTCGCAGGGCTTGCTTGTAATCATTTTGCCTCATTTCCCAAAAAGCTGTTAGATGAGCGACTGGCATGGATACCCACAGGAGATGGGGAGTCTTAGGAGCCCAGTACCGCAACTTTTTCGCTGTGCGGTACCTGGGCTTTCTCCACACACGACTCTCTATTGCAGAACCGCAAGTGGACAAGGGAGTTTTAACAAGTGGAAAGAGATTGTGACTTTGCTTCTCTCTGCACCCTTCGCACCTCTGATGTTAAAACTCCAGAGCGACCGACAGGCTGCGATAGTGCCTTTGGGAAGGGGGAGTTGCTGCCTGGCTGCCATCCCTCGGTGCAAAACGCAGGAGGAGAAAGGCAACAGCGCGGAGCCCTGCACCTGGCTGCGCGCTCCTGCCGGGGCCGGGCAGTCCCATCCCGCGGCCGCGCACGCCCCGCGCCCAAGCTTTCCCGTAAACTCATCTTCGGTTTGGGGGGCTGTCCCCGTCCGCCTGCCTGTCCCCTGACTGTCTCCTGCCTGTGTCCTGCCTGTCCCCTGACTGTGTCCTGCCTCCCCTCCCTCCCCCGCGCAGGGCCGCGCACTCACCCGCGGCGCGGAGCGGCCGCTCCGTCGCTCATGCCTCCCCGGCGGGCGCGGGTGAGCGGCGGGACCGGGGCGGGGGCCGGGGCCGGGG